GGGGGGGGGAGGCGGTGCCTTTGGTGCCTATGCCCCTATACTTGTAGTAATTACCTCTCAGTTTAATAGTTAATTCTTTGCATAAAATATAATCCTCCATCACCAGCGAATTTTAAACTCAGTTTATAATAAATTCCTATTTTCTATCAGCTCCCCCTTAAACACTTCTGGTGTGTGTTTGGGTATCAGTATGTGATATACTAAATCTGGATTATCAGTGCAGCCAGAGTTCTTACTAGTGTTTAGGCATTTTCAGGTTTGGATTTTAACTATTTTTCTGGTTATTTCTTGATATACAAGTAAATAATGTTCATCTGGATGAAGATAAACCCTCCATACTGTATAGTTCAACATACACATACCAATTTGTTAGGAAATTTGTAATTCAAACACAAACTTTTTTTTTGTTAAAAACATGAACTATTGCCAGTGTGAATCACATACACATACTGTATATTATAGATATTAAAAAGTAGTTTAATGGTTTGTTATATCTAAACAGAAAAAAAACATAGCCTGGGACATGGTTTTGTTTTTCTTGGCTGATTTAAGAACGAATCTCTGGTTGGTTTTTCAGCAGGGAACAGTGGACGTTACTTTATGTATTTATTTATTTGATTTATCCTGCCTTTATTTTTTGTCAACTCAAGGCAGTGTACATACTTAATACTCCTTCCTCCTCTATTTTCCTCACAACTACCCTGTTAGATGGGTTGGGCTGAGAGAGAGTAACTAGCCCAAAGTTGATTTGCGGAATACAAATAACAGCTGCAAAATCTGAAGTACAGTTAATAAAAAATATGACTTAGTATTATCTCTATGTCCCAATTCAGTATTTGACTTGCATGATTTTTTTTATTTAATTAGAATATTGAGCAAATGGAATACATTGCTTATAATCTTTCTTCCACTTTTAACATGGAAGCATTTAAATGTGAACATACAGATTAATTTTTCTTTCATTATATTAAACCAAAGCTGCCTTTTTCCTGCTATCTCTTTCCCCCTTTCTTTTTTGCTACAATGGGTAGTCAAAGATCAAGAAAAAGTTGACTGTACAGATAGCAAAGTAACTGTGTGAACTGATTGCTTCAAGCAGAAATCATTGTCATAGATAAAACAAACAGTTCAATAAATAATTCAGCACATAATAGAAATTGTTTTCCGTAACCCATTATTTATCATAGGTTTACTTTCTATCTTATTATTAATGACTACAATGTCTTCTCCTTGCCCCATAAATTCTTAAATGTATCACATTACCCCATTTGTTCTATGGGGTCTGCTCATGAGTTATTCTCACATTGGGAAGTTCAGAGGAGTTGCCCATACCTTGTTTCCAAGGACAGTAAGCTGGTAGATTATGATTTTCCAGAACAGACTAATTTGCATGTGGTAATTTTTGGTTTGCACTGAAAAATGCATGTTATTTGCCTAGGAAATTTTGCATCATCCATAATGCCACTGATTATCATATCTCCACCTAAAGACTGCAGCATCAGCAAAGACTGCCTAAATTATCACAAATATATCAATTAATACCTTCTCTTAGGAAATGACAGCACAATTTTACAGTTTTATTGTAGGCTGTTGAAGATGTAGCCAAACCTATAAAGTAATAGTGCATAATTGTTGTCTATTTTGGGAAACAAGTAGACACACCTTTTTTTGGGGTGGATGTCAGTACTGATATTAAAATGTTTCCTCCTAATTGAGGAAATGTTTATTGTATGGACTTATCTATTATGGCAGGTTTTCAGTGGTGACACTCAGTTTCATCAGATGAATGAAGTGCTAGAGTAAGTTGAGTAACAGGTACAATGGAACTGTAAATTGTGAGGTCATAGATACATGAAATCAGAAAATCTAGATAGTAGTAGTGTTAATAACAGTCGCTTTCATTCAATTATTAGCCTAATGTTTGTAGCTTAGTTCTGGTATTTCTTTCCACCATTGATCATATTCTCTGAACAGAGATCTGCTCTCAGTCATGCTACCAATGGGAATTGGGACCAGAGGTATCTTTTCTGAGAACCACCCAGCTTCTGGAACATTTTGGGGTTCTTTTGGGGGTGTGTGAAGGGGGACAATGGAGTATAGAATTTCACATAGAAGGAGAAATCTACAAAAATCACATTCCCCAAATTCATATTGAGTTATATTACTTTCTATTTTCAGAATAAACAATAAGAGTAATCTCAAAGTACTGTAGTAGTAATGCATTCATAAGAGCTGGTATAGGGTAGACGACTAGTTAAAAGACATTTTTGAAAACTCTCTGTTCACTAGGCATCCTGTATGTATATTGAATGTATATTCTTATTGTTTGCCCACCTTCATGTCTACTTGAGGTTACTCAATTTATTTTATAAGACGCACAGTTAAAAAATCCAGTAAAATAGAAGTTTTGAGATGTTCTTGTATAGGAAGCAAAATAAACATATCTTTCATAATGTTTATTCTTACTTATAAAAATGAACATGTATTTCTTATTATAGTTATGGTTTTCCTGTACAACTCCCAAAACAAAACAAGAAAAGAATACACAAACCACAAAGGAGGAGGTACAATGTTCCTTCCCTCTCCTACTTTCCTCCAAGGCTAGCAACTAGCTTGATTTCAGAAGAAAGTTTCTGCAAAGGAGATATTATAGTTAGATAAACTGAATCATCAGAGTTCATCTGTATTGTGATTTCTATGTAAATATTTATGTAAATGAAACACCACATGCATGCACAATAGCAAGTTAGCTATAGGCGTGGAGATCCCCAAGTTTAGCAAAAATAGTATAAATAGCAATACATTTAAAAAGCCATTGGGGAGACCCATCCCCAAATCAAATCAGCAGGGACTAGGCATAGAAAATTAACTGATTAGAGGTAGGGGAGAAGAGGAGAGAGAGAAGAGGGAAGAACGTTAATAAAATACAGAATAATGACCTGGAAAAGGGCATGACTGACTGCAGTCCTGGACAAGAGTACTCCACTTTGTAATGTTGCCACTTCTGATTCTCTAAGAGCAAGTTCTTTCTTTTTAATACCTGAAATGATGTTTTCATGCCTACTCCAAGGCATGTGTAAGACTACTGGGCAAACCTGCGTAAGCTGTGTAGTATTAAATCCTTCTATATATCCAGAGATATTTAACTTCCAAGCACAGGATGGTAACCTTTAAAAACTAAAGCCAGCACTTCTGCCAGTGAATTGCGCCTTCGAGTCACTGTTGACTCCTGGTGACTGCCTGGACTAGTCACTGCAATTTTCTTGGCAAGATTTTTGGGAAGTGGTTTGCCCTTTCCTCCTTCCTAGGGCTGAGAGAAGATGACTGGCCCAAGGTCACCCAGCGGGCTTTGTGCCTAAGGCAGAACTAGAACTACCAGTTTTCCACTTAACAACTCAGATTGTTATGAAACCTCACTAATCAATTGGACAATACACAGGTATAATATGTTTGCAGGAATGTAGGCTGTAATTTTTATTTGTATTAAGGAGTGAGTCCCATATTTAACTAATGAATCCCATTCAGCCAAAAGACATTTCTGGGTAAATATAAAATTACTCTCCTAGTTTATAATGCTTGTATTTTCTGCTTATACATTGATGCACTGCAGCAATATTCACAGCTCACAAGGTGAAATACGTATTTTCTCAGAGCTGGGCTTTATTACAGGCTTTGCATCCCACATATTTTGTATGGAAAATGAAGTCCAGTGAATTAAAAGTCTCACAATCTCAGGCAGGTGGTTAGTGGGCAAAACTGATACTATAATTGTGTTCAAAAAGCACAATCTTTCTTATGTTTGCAAGTTAAAATTGCCAGACAAGACATTTATAGATAAAGCTGCTGTTTTGGAAGGTAGGAGCTCTGCAGTGAGACATTTAAGCCTCTCCATTGCCCATCACAATATTTCCCTTTAGAGGCAAAGTGACATTGTTGGATTTTGATCTGCCATATATAGTTTAAAACCATTAAAAAAAAAAAGGCAATTCTATTTTACTTAATTTCCCCAATAGATCTGTTTATGAAACACTGTGCTTCAGGTTAACGTAGAATAATTTGTTTATTTAAGAAAGACGGGTTCGGCCCTCCCCCCAGTTCTGACATTTACCACCTCGAGCTATGTTCCTTTTCTTGCACCCGAAGAAAGAGGAGAGGCTTGAACGAGCCAGACAGGTTCCTCGGTCAACTCTCCTCGCGCTGCGGCACGAAAGGCTCGGCTGTAATGAAACGAAGCCGCGCCTAAACCAGGAAGTCGCTGCTGAGGGCGGCTGTCGGAAACGGTCTCCTGCAGCGCCGGTCGCGTTTCTTTCCAGAGGGACCCAGCGGCCGGCAGCCTCGCTTCAGGTAAATTGCCGCCCTCCGAGATCAGCCGTCGGGAAGGCAGGACGCGGGGAGGGAACAGGCGGGATCTGTGGGAAGAGGGCGCTCGGGGAGGAGCCATCTTCTTGGCTTGCCCGGCGTTGGCCGAGCGGGGGCTCTCCTCTCA